TGAGGTGAAATAAAAAATACTGTTTCTTTTGTTAATCATTTTTACAGTGCAAATATTTGCAATCAGAAATAATATAAAGTGAGCACTGTACACTTTGTATTCTGTGTTGTAACTGAAATCGATATATTTGAAAATGTAGAAAAACATCCAAATATTTAATACATTTCAATTGGTATTATATTGTTGATCAGTGTGATTAATCGTGATTAATTTTTTTGAGTTAATTGCGTGAGTTGACTGCAATTAATTGACAGCCCTAGTTTTGGGCCATTGTTAGTGAGGGACAACTGGTGGCCAATACAGCACTCCAGTCAGCGTTTGATGCAGCTGACACAGCAGCCCGCTCCAATCTCTACAGCGGTGGTTATGTGGCGAGCGTCCTTGTTGCACCTATCTGGCTTCCCTAAGGAAGTACACACTACAGTAGAGGACCTCCCCTTTGAAGGCACCAAATTGTTTGCCGAGAAGACTGACGCATTCCTCCATATGCCTAAAGACTCCAGGGCCACTCTCTCCGGTCACTAAGGATTTATCCACCTGGACAAAAAAGAAAATATAGTCTGCAACCTCAGCATAAATCCCATGCACCACATTTCCCAATGCAACACTGTTCTGAGCCTCCAAGATAAAAATGCAGATTTTCCAAATGTAAACCATCAGGCCCCCAGTCTTCCTCTTCACAATTACTTACCTCAAAACATCAGTTTTGACATCTTGGTTGAGGCGCTGACAGACCACTCCCCTCAACCAACTGCAGCTGACCGGCCCTTGTTTTTTCCCAGTTGTGGAATGAAGCAATATCCGACCAATGGGTTCTGGAAATTGTCCACAATGGGTACTCCATCCACTTCACCTCCTCTCACCCGTTTCCAGCACCGTTCTCCATCTCTCTTCAGGGACTCTTTTCATGAGAGTTTATTATGACAAGAAATAGATCACCTTCACTGTCTAGGAGCCATAGAGCCTGTACCTCAACACCTGTGTGGCAAAGGTTTCTACTCTCGTTATTTCCTGATACTCAAGAAGAAGGGAGTTGGAGACCCATACTGGAACTCAGAGCACTGAACAAATTTGTCAAGGCTCAAAAATTCAGGATGGTCACAGTAGCAGTGATTATTTCATCTTTGGAACAGGGAGATTGGTTTTCGGCCCTCCACCTGCATGATGCTTATCTCCACATATCAATTCTACTTTCCCAGAGACAGTTTTTCAGTTTTATCCTGGGTCAGGACCATTAACCAATACAGAGTATTCCTCTTTGGCCTCTCATCAGCTGCGAGAGTATTCCCCAAGGCCTTATCCGTAGTGGTGGCTCACCTACGCTTCCAACGGATAATGATCTATCCCTACCTGGATGCTTGTCTCCTCAGAGCCCGCTCCTTCAGCAAGGCTTACCGGGTCACTCAAACTTCTGTAGACTTGTTCATGGACCCGGATCTACAGATCAACGTCCAAAAATAGATGTTCACCCCTGTACAGTGATTCATATGAGCTGATCTCCACTCGTTATAGGCGAGGGCGCTCCTGCCACACCACAGGTGCCACACCACAGGTTCCACACTTTGGCCATGCTCCTGGAGGCAGTACAAACCAGCCCTAAAATATTAGCCAGACACTGCCTCCAACTTCTTGGGCATATGGCTGCAGCACATCTGTGATATCTCATGCCAAACTTCACATGAAGTGCCTCCAGATGTGGTTCAGCTCGGTCTATACAAACCTCTGTCACTGCCCACCAAAGTCAAACACTCTATGGACTCGTGGAAAGACCCAGCAAATGTCTTCCCAGGGATCCTCTTCTCACAAACTTCCCCATTGTCACTTCTCACCACTGACACGTCCCTCATGAAATGGAGCGCATATCTCAACAATCTTTTGACACACGGCAAGTGGTCATCCATGGAGATGTCTCTTCGCATCAACCTCCTCGAACTCAGAGCGGTCAGGAACGCCTGTGCCACTTCCTTCCACTGATCAAGGATATGCACACGAGAGTCTTGACAGACAGCATGGCATGTATGTAATATATAAATTGCCAGGGAGGTGTCAAATCATGCTCCCTTTGCACAGAAGCACTAAAGCTGTGGAACTGGTAGATTTCCCACAGTATCAGCAGCCTATTGTCCAGAAGTACAAAACTCGATAGCAAACACTGTTGCAAGTTCCCATAGGATCACAAATGGGTGATAAACTCAGCAATACTACATGACATATTCAGGCGGTGGGGGACACCGACTATAGAACTGTTCACTACATACCTGAACAAGAAGCGCCCATGCTGCTGCTTCAGGGAAAGAATCGGACAACACTGCTTAGGGGACACTCTCCTTTTTCCATGGGACAAGGACTTTGTCTACGCTTTCCCCCCATTCCCTCTACTATCGAAAGTACTGTTAAAAATAAAGCGAGAGAGCAAATGTCATACTTATTACTCCCTCCTGGCTGAGACAGACGTGGTACCCTTACTTGTCACAACTGGCAATATGCCTATCGATCTCTCTCCAGTCAAGTCCATACCTCCTCTTGCAGAGTGAAGGAGGCACTCTCCATCCCAGCCTGTGGATATTCCAATTTAAGGCCTGGCTCCTTCATGGTTCCAGCACATAGAAAGGTCCTGCTCTGCAGAGGCACAGGAAGTGTTACTACACAGTAGAAAATCGGCTACCCATCATACCTACTTGCAAAAGTGGACCAGGTTTCATGTCTGGTGTAATTCCAGACAAATTTCCCCAACATCTGCTACTCTCCCAATTGTTTTAGATTATATATTGACTCTCTCAAGAAATCAGGACGATCTCTCAGTTCACTCAAAGTTCATCTAGCTGCCTTCCACGAACAAACAGAAGGGTACTCCGTGCTCTCCCACCCAACCACAAATAGATTTCTCAGGGGTATAGTAAACCTTTTTCCCCAACCCAGACATCCTACTCCAACAAGGGACCTAAACTTAGGCAGCCTAGTCAGGCTCTTTAGTACTTTTTGAACCCATGGCTATTGGTTCGCTCACACACAGCCTTCCTGGTGGCGATGGCCTCAGCGAGAAGAATAGGGGAAATACAGCACTAATACACCACCCTTATGTAGTACTCTTTCGGGACAAGGTTTCTCTCAGACCACACCTGAAGTTCATCCCCAAGATGACCTTGTCTTTTCACATAAACCAATTGATTCACCTCCCGACCTTTTACCCTAAGCCTTGCCATAATAACAGGCTATATTGCATGCACTAGACATTAGGAGAGTCCTGGCCTTTTACCTGGGCGGGATGAAGGCCTTTAGGAAATCTCTTACGCTTTTCCTCTCCATTGCGGAAAGGTCTAAAGGAGCAGTGATAGCATCCCAAAGACTCTCCAAAAGGGTCTCGAACTGTATCACACTGCTATCACCTCCATCCGGAATCTGCACACAATGAAACTGAAAGGCAGTGAATTCAAAACAGATAAAATAAACAACACTTCACACAATGCATAATTAAACTCTGGAACTCGTGACAGAATGTTGTTGAAACCAACAATTTAGCATGATAGACTCATTGGACATCGATATACATAATAGGAATATACAGAGTTATAATTCAGTAAATAGTTTTTAGAAGTTTTAAAAGGAATATAAAACTTACTGCTTTGGGGTTTATGAAAATCTCTTAACTATTGGATGTTAAATGAAGATTCCCATGTGGGACAAATTATCCAACAGCTGCCAACTTTGGGGTTTCTTGCACCTTTCTCTGAAGCATCTGGGGCTGGCCACTGTCAGCAGAGACATGACACTAGACTAGATGGACCTTTGGTCTATGTACCCGTGTAATAAAAGGCATGTGCCACAGCAGTGGGTATGTAGCAAATCATAATGTTTACATAAATATTGCTTTAACTGTGTGTCTATGGGATCTTTTATAAAACATACCTAAACAATGTGGTAATAGGCTCACTACAGCAGAAGATGCCATGAATTAAAAAAAAGGAAAGAATGGCTGAAAATATTGGATTAATTAATATCACAGAATGTAACCAACTATACCTGACTGTTAATTGCAAAAGCAAAAAGCAGTCATCATTTCTGTTACTTGTTATTGATATGAGGATTCAGGTAGACTGTGAAACAAATACACTTTGCAATAGGGAGTGTGCATGCGTGTGTGTATATAATATATATAAAATACAGCAATAATGTAAACTTTTACTTAAATATCTTAATTGTTCATGTGGAAAGTTTTTCCCCAAATGTATTGAGGGAATATAATGAATCCTAAGACTGGAAAATTTATTGAACATTGCGTCATGAATAGAAATCCTTTATAAAATGCTAATACAAATTTGTATTTACTTTAAATAGTTTATTTAAAATAAGTGGAAATAGAAAACTGTCAACGTGAAGTTGCTTTTGGATCTTATTCTTTTATTTAGATAATCTGGGCTAGGACAGGAAAATATGGATTAAAAAAAAGAATAGGGTTTGTGTTCCAAAATATGGAATTAATTGTTAAAATTGCTTATCATGTGACTTACAAAGAGCCATATTTTTCTAAGGCCTGGTCTACACTAAAAAGTTAGGTTGACCCAGCTTCATTGCTCAGTTGTGTGAAAAATCCACATCCCTGAGTGACATAGTTAAGCTGACGTAACCCAGGGTGTAGACAACACTTCTGTTGATCTAGTTACCACCTATCAGGGAGATGGATTACCAACGCTGATGAGTGAACCCCTCCCATCAGCGTAGGCAGTGTCTACATTGAAGTGCTACACAACTGTGTTGCTGCAGCGTTTCAAATGCAGAAAAGCTTAAGCCATCATATCTGACAGTTTTTAACATTTTATGTCCAATAAATTCTATTGCCTGCTAAAAGCAAATATTGTTCATTTAAATCTTGGTTTAGCAATGTTCATCTAAATATGTTAATTGCTATGTTTTTAATGCAATACTATGTTCTAGGCTTCTTTTTGTGTTTGGTTTATGCAGCTCAGATTATTTAAATAGGTATGCTTATCTTTTATGTGCAGGCTTATCAGTAACAGCAGAGCAAATAAATCCTCATGGTTCCACTGTACGGAAAACAGAAACTAGAGTTGAAGAGGCATTTCGGAACAAACAAAAAAATGCAATAGCAGTTTGGCACAACTCTGCAAATAAATGTGCATGTGAGTACTTCAGATCACATTGTATCGAAGCGAGAACCACTAGCCCAGAGAGCAATGATCATGGATTTGATACACACCTAGAAAAGGACTATTATTTCTATAAAATATCTGTTTTAGTTAGTGATTTCTTTTTTATTTCCACTGTAGAAAAACCACATTAGCCACACAGCGCTTGTGTCTTTAAGAGGCATCCATTTTCCAACTTCATTAAATCTCTGCTTAGGCAACCATTGAAAGGAAGTGGAAAGCAGGATTTCAAACTGTTTTTGCAATGCAAAAAAATACAAGTATTACAATAGCTTTAAAAATATTTTTTTTCCGTGTAAAATAAGTAAAAAATTCTTTCTCTGTGGTTAGAATTATCTTAAGCAGGTTTTCAGCTTACGTTTTTTGTGTTTCACATTTGTACATAAGTAAATATTTCCTGTGTTAAGTTGTCTACAAAGTATTTTTTTTTTGGTAGATATTGGTAGGTTTTTTTTTTTTTTGCTTGCAGGGATCCAGTTGTGAGCAACTTAAGTGTTGGAAAGGAGAGGGATAGCTCAGTGGTTTGAGCATTGGCCTGCTAAACCCAGGGTCGTGAGTTCAGTCCTTGAGGGGGCCACTTAGGGATCTGGGGCAAAAATTAGTACTTGGTCCTGCTAGTGAAGGCAGGGGGCTGGACTTGATGACCTTTCAGGGTCCCTTCCAGTTCTATGAGATAGGTATATCTCCATTAATTTAATTTATTTTTTTAAGTGTCCAGTGCTAAAAGCTGATGGGCACCCTCAACTTACCTCATTTAAATGAATGGAAGATGAGGTTGTCCAGCACCTTGCAGAATCGGGACATCAATTCTAAAGTACAAAAGTATCTTATATTATGTTTGATGGTATATTGTATAGGTTTTCTGAATGTGGTTTAGGTAATAATAGGGACTATTAACTATTCTTGAGAGGTTTACTGATACAAGTAATTAAATGAGCTGCGGTGAGCTTGGTTATAAAATTGTACTATGTGAGCTTATTTGACAAACCAGAATAAGGGGGCATATGAGAGGGAATGTGTGTGGGCTATTCACTAAGACTAGTGAATCAGCTTCCAGTTGAAACTGTGGGGTCAATTATAAATATTTAAGCAAAAACTGGATAACTTCTTAGGGAAGTTCACATAGATTGAAGCGGAGAATTTCTTCACTGATCTTTCCTTTTTCTCTAGAGTATTTTGGGGGGAAGGGGCTGTGTGCATGCATCCGTCCGGGCATGAGTGTTGGTCCCAGGATATGAGACACACAAGGTGTGGTAACATCTTTTATTGGACCAAGATCTGTTGGTGGAAGAGATAAGCTTGACAAAGAGATCTCTGTTGCTTGAAAGCTTGTCTCTTCTACCAATAGAAGTTGGTCCAGTAAAAGATATTACCTCACCTGCTTTGTGTATGTTTTTGGCATAGTAATGATACTACCTTCCTGGCACCAAAAAATGTTTTGGAAATACATAGGATAGATTTGGCATCAAATAATTCCAGTCTGTGGCCTGTATTTGTGGCCTTGTTTCTTGCCCATTCCTTCAATTCCTATGCTTAAGGAATTAAAGAATCAGCAATACGAAGTAATTGTTTATGTCTGAGATGTTCTAAAATAGTGGAAGCAGAAGTTTGCTTTCTATGTTTTCATTTTGCCACATGAATAAAGAAAAATGTGGACACTTGACACACAAATAAAGGTAGACAAAAAAGTTGCCCATGATTGTTTGCACTCAGTCTTTATGTGCCCTAAAACGGATTGCCACACTGTGGTCCACAGAGTGCTTCCTGGTGGTGGTTGAAGTGCTGTGCTGCTGTTTCCTTCCTTCATTTCCAGTCAGGACTCTTGTGGAAAGGAGGGTCAGCTGCCACTAGTCACTACTGTATAAAAAAAAAAAGTTGCTGCTTCCTTCCTCTCTCTTCCTGACCCTCTATCGGTGACACATTGGTAGTTGTCTCAGGGGCACAGAGAGGAGCCATCAACTGAAGGAACTGCCAACTTCTCCAATATACAAGTGCAAACTGAGCTAGTGTCAAGGCACTGTCCTTGGGAAGATCTGGAGCTATGGAGAGTGGGAGAGAAGAAAACTAGAGGTCTGGCTGAGATTGGGAGCAGACAGGAGGCAATCAGTAACCTAGGTCGTAAGAAGGGAGCTGGGTTAGGCTGCTGCACAGGACTGGGGTGAGGTATCTGGGAACTAGAGGAAGAAACCGAGAATTGAATGAATAGCCAGGATGGACCAACAGTATCTTGGGGAAGAGGGTCAAGGAGGTGGAGGCACAGGATCTGGAGACTAGTGAGAAAGAATTGAGGGGAATAGGGCCTAGAAACAAGCATGAGAAAGAAGTTGGGAGCAGGGAAGGGAGTGAGGGGACAGCCTCAAGCAAAGGAAGAGCAGACTAAGCAAGGAACAAGGGAGCTTGAATGGCAGCAGATTGTGGGGCAGGACTGATTTTGTGAGGTGGTGGTAAAACGGATTGCAGAAGATAATCATAGAAATGTAGAACTGGAAGGGACCTCAATAGGTCATCTAGTCTAATCCCCTGCATTGAAGCAGGACTAACTATTATCTAGATTATTTTGTTTATAGAAAGGAAAAAAGGAAATCCTTTGGAAGAGAGATTAAAACCGAAGTACCTTCTACAGATTTCCGGTGACTGTCATAATGTGTGGATAGTGTGTGTATGATTGGTTTGGAAAGGACTGATTCTGAATGGAGGGAGAATAATTTATTTTAGAGCCAGAGTAGGATGTTTTGTGATTTACAAGTCAGTGAAATTAGGAGGAGATGAGGTAGTCTTTGCTATCAAAAAAGTTTGGCAACACTTGACTTAGAAACATAATAGTAATATCAGAAAATGATTGATATAGTTTGATTATATGGGACCAAAACTTTTCTTTATAGTTAGCATTTCTGAAACAGACTTCCATTTTTTTTTTTCTTTAAGGCTGAAACTAAATTCAGTTTTTCCTCATATGATGTTGATTTAGCTTTGATGTAGTCTTTTTGTATGCAGTTGCAACATCTTCCTGATCAATTTTCTCTTCCAGGAGATTTGTTTATAACATTTAGAGAATAGTTGCCAAAAATTGGGGTAAGTCATATGAAACATGTAATAATAAACCCTTTTATAAAGCAAGCTGTTGCGCATCTTCTCCTTGGGAACCATACTGGAGAAGAGACTTTTTTTTCTTCTGATATTTCAATGGCTTTGCAAAATCGTAAAAAAAGAATAGGATTGTTTATGCAAAACTACTACTAAAACAAGTTTAGCAAAGAATTGAAGTTACATTTTATCAAATAAAGATTTATGGTCAAGAATAACCAAGACTTGTGCGTTTTTATATCACAAAGTCCTATCATTTGGATTTCACCTATTTACTACTTTGTGAAATTGGTGCCATACTTTTAATTTTAATGTTAGTAATGTATTTTGGAATGCTTGTTTCTCACTGATTAAAGCTCAAGGTCTCTCTCTATATCAGTGCAATTGTGTTTCTCAGGGTTAGATGACATTAGGGTGACCAGCTGTCCCAGTTTTATAGGGATAGTACTGATAGTTGGGGCTTTGTCTTATATACGTGCCTATTACCCTCCCACTCCCTGTCCCGATTTTTCACACTTGCTGCCTGGTCACCCTAGATGACATGGTGGAAAAGGCAGTTGAGCTGCATCTAAGTTGTGGCTTCTACTTTTACTACCATTGGTTGAAGCTATGTCACATTGTAGATGACCTAAAAGGATTATTCTAATAGGAATTGATGAAAATTTATTCCTGAAAATACCAACTGACAGATGCCTTCAGCTTGGCTCAGTTTAGCCTATTCTTTATTATGAACTACATTCTCTTTTGATACATTGGTATCCACTGAAGTAAATGAAGTTACTCTGGGTTTACACCAAGAGCTAAATTTGACCATATGCTTCTGATTGTGTTTGCTACTTCTCTTGTGCCTCGCTATCCATATGTGAAGTTCAGTGTTGTTGGTATATATATGACTATGCCATACATATATTTTCATAATATCCCTGTTTTCACACTTTGACTAGATAGTTAATTCTATTTCACATTACCTTGAAAACGTGGATCATTCTTACCCAGGCCTCTATGATATTTTTCTTTTTTTACTGTCAGTCAGATTTCTTAAGCAATAATGTAAGTGGAGGGTAGACTTTTCAGTTTTGTGGGTAAAATATTTTTGTAGGGTCAGAATCTTCTTTTACTGGCACTTTTGAGGGGTATATCTTGCCTTTTCTTTGGTATTAAGTTCTGCATCCTTTTCCAAAGCTGTTAGAGCTCTGCTGTCTATACAGACAAAACCCAGTGTTTACTAAATATATAAAAGAAAATAGTAGAGATTGCAATTATAAAATGAAGCTATAGCAATTCCGAGGTCCTGACTAGCAAATAGGCCATTGGAGTGTCAGATTAAAATTAATTTAAAATAAATACCAAAAATATAAAATCCCAACACGGTTTGTTATCCCTAGTTCAGCTACCTTGGTGGCTGTCCTAGGCTCTGGCAGCTTTCAATGTTTTTACAATTGTGTACATTAAATCTGGTAGTTCCAATGGGGAATATTTGCTAAAAAATAGCTTTGTGTAGGCTCCATGTACCCTGGCAAAATAGGGAACCTGTAATTCATCAGATCCACCAGTGTTAGCAACAAGGAAAGATGTAGTGTAGACAGGGCTCATGTGGACTCAAGGGTGTTTTATCACTATGGCATCTAACTTTGCCCTGTGTAGAGGTGACACTGATGTGACCTGGGTGTAAGTTTTGTGGGAACACACCAGTGACATGAGTGAAGGGTGAGTGGGGTTTACAGTGGTATGACATGAGTGACAGAGAGTGTGTGTGTGAGAGAGAGAGAGAGAGAGAGAAGTGGTGCTGGTGGTGCGTGTTGTCCCAGGTAGCTGGTAAATTAGTCACTGCTGAAGCAGTTAAAAAATAGAATTTGGAGGCTACAACAGCTAGAAGTGCCCCTTTAACT